GGTGAGGGACCCTCGGAGTGGGGGGATGGTGGCTGCGGCTCAGCCTCGAGTTTTGCAGTCGCCGGCTGGTAATAACCAACTATTGTTTCTCTGCTGTACCCCGCTTCTCTGCTTCCTGCCCTGATGACTGGGGCCTGCCTCCGCCGCTTGGAGCTCACAGTTCTCCCAGGCAGAGCTGTTCAGGAAATTCACCGCACCTTCTCTCCTCCCCCTCCTCCTATAGGGAGCTCCAGCTCTGAGAGGTAGCTTCTTTGTTTCTCCCAGTTCACAGCCCGACACCCAGGTTCTGACCTGAGGTAGCTCTTATGGGCAGATTCCCATGCTCAGACGTGCTGGTGTGCAGTTTGGGTGTTTTTTGTTGAGTTTTAGATGTTCAGCTTATTGTTGTTTCAAGGGGAGCGATCTGGGGACGTCTCTCACTCCGCCGTATTTCTGACGTCACTCTCCTAGGGTCCTTTTCTTAAGCTGCTACCCCTTTTTGATCCCCGCCCCTTCCAAGCTCTCAGAGCCCCCGACTCCCCTGCTGGTCCTTGGGCTAGAAAGCTGGGGCTTTTCTCTCACTGCCTGCTGTGTACTTCCTGAGAATGGTCAACCTCCAGGGCTGAGCAGAGGGAGGACAGAGAGCAAATGCAACAGTGTCCTCCCCACCCTGGTGTCTTCAGAGCACGGTTCACGGTTCCCCTGGGCAGAGGGGATCTGCTCCTTCAGTTCCAGGTGTTGGCCCCCAGTGGCTGCAGATAGACTTGCAGCTTCTGTGCTGGAACTGGCTGAGACTGGACAGGAGGGGAAGAAAAACCAAACATGAGAAAACTCCGGGTCTCCTGCCCCCTTTTCCCCTACTGGCTCCCCGTTTCCCTTTCACCGTGAGCTGGGACTGTCCCTGCTGAGTGTGCAGTTTCAGGATATGTGGCCAGGGGGTTCCTGCCTAGGCGAGGTATAGAAGGCAACAAACCCAGAAAACTCACAGCTAGGGGGTCCTTCTCATTCTGTTTTCCTTCCCTGGTCTTCTTGCCACCGATTCACTTAGCAGAATTCTCAGATACCGCCGCACACATTCTGTCTGGGTTCTCAGTTGCACTCAGCGGGAGGGATCTGCGAAGGGTATTGACCATCTTACCTGCAGCGTCGAATGCACGCGCAAAAGGCTGCAAACAGGCTTCGTGTAAGAGAGGAGAGGAGGCATCTGAAAAATGCAAAGGAAAAGAGCTCGCGGAAATGACCTAGTCAACTGGTTATAGATTTACCATATCCTATAAATCTCTAAATGGCCTTCTAGAAACTCTTGCAACATTTGGTGCTGTGGCAGCCACACCCTGCCTGGCCATTTCCTGCTCAAATAAGTTCATTCCTGACTGCCCTCTCCACTCCCCTCAAGGACTCTCCAGCTGACATCTGTTGATTCATGGCTTGCCAAACAACTAATGTCCTTCCTTATCTCTGCAGCTGTGTAGGAATAACAAGACTGTATAAAACTGCCCGTTATGTTACAATCGGGGCT